CCTCTGTGTGGTCTTATATATCCTTTCCTACTCGTGAGATTCACACACTATAATAAATATTTCTTTTATTTCCCGAGGTGTAAACCTAAAGGTTACTCTTAAACACTCATTTCTTTTACAACTCAAATATACTCAACTAGTAAGCATTCCCAGACGAAGATGGAGTAACTAAACATGTAGAACCTCACAGGATAGTATGATCACTCCACTCTCACGTGTTTAAGATTGGTTAACTGTTTCACTCAAAATCATTCCAATGAAGATATTCTACCATAAGTTTGCATATTTTCTCATTCGCCACCACTTAAATTACATGCATAACACAAATCATAAGGTCTTTTCAAGGTTAAAACGTGGCTTCAGGTCAAGGTGTGGAAAATATTTAGGTAAGTGACTAAGAAGCCTCAAAATATAAATCAGTAGAGTAAAGATATTCAACTCAGCTCAACATAGATAGGATCTGTACACAATCCAATCTCTCCAACAATAACTTCTTACTTTTCACCTATTCAGCACAATTAACCTTTTTTTTCTTCAAAAATCAGGAGAAATCATAAATATAGACATACAAATCAGTCTCCTCCACACTTTTTTCCCTGTCAATTTTTTTTTTCCAACACAAACTACTTTCCACTACACCAATCATAGCACCTTAATAGATATTGATACCCCGACTCTTCTTTTCTATCACACCCAACATTCAAAGTCACCAACATTACTCTACTAGCTTTAAGGGTTGGGTAAAGCTATTGTTTTCTGGATATGAAAGCTCGTAATGTGGGTTTATCAAAGAAAAGGCAAATAGGCTCAACAGGGTTTATCAATGGAAAGATTAATTTCATGGTAAGCTATTTGGCTAATGTGGTAAATCTTATGTAACAAAAGATGACCTTAATCATATTCATGCATACATGTGTCGATGTAGAATCAATGCAAGTTCTAGAGAAGCAAAATCATGGAAGAGTATCACACATGAAAAAAGTAATGAAATTGTAATATATATGTTAGTCTATAGGCTCAAAATCTCACCAGCTTTTGTCTACACCATTCAGTTACTACCATTTTCAATGAAAATAACTAACTAGCTGAACCTACATTTCTCACAATATGGTAAGGTGAAAGAGAAATAGACATAGGTTGATAAGATTTTTCTAGCAACTCACAACCTATGTTCATACCAATCCAAAAATTTTCAAACAAAAACACTTCCACATCTAGATGAAAATCAATCATGACTATTGTGCTCAATGTAATTTAGGATCTCACATGGACAAGCAATTTTTGAAAAATTTTATGCACAAATAGCATATTTGGTCGTGCATAACTTATGAATCAATAACAATTTCAAACATCATGCAATTCAAAGCCGGCAAGGCTCACCTAACAATTCGATACAAAATCACTAAAATATGTACACAAACAAAAGCCGTCAAGACTATAACATCAATAGCCGGTAAGGGTCAAGCCACTTGATCTTGTTCCTTTACTCAATGATTTTCGTCCCATTGTCTTTGCTCAAGTTTTGGTCGATCACATTCACAATTTGCATGATGAGATAAAATGTAAAATTGCTTTACATTTACATTTTAGTCATAAATGTTGGTGATTACATCATCATACGACTCGCACCTGAGCGTTTTCCAAAATAGCTAAAAAATTTTGTGCTAGATCACTTGGGCCTATCCCATTATTAAATGACTTGGAACTAATATACTTGATTTATCGACGCATTTAATTATTAGTCATGTTTTCAATATAGCGGATTTATATCCTTATCGAGATACCTTCAAGCCTCCGATTTTGTTCGTCCAACATGCCCCTCGAGCACTGTGGCTAAATTTTCACTTTTAACATATCACTGATGTGGTGTACGACGATTAGATTATTAATTCACAAAATGGTGGCTTTCATAGGTTCTACTCCGTTGGAAGGGTTGTTTTCCCATTGATGCTACTTGGATTATTGAAGATGAGTTCCGTCAATATGATGCAAAGGCGCCTATTAGGATTATACCTTGCCCGATTTGAGTTCTATTTAGTCGGAGAGGAATGGTGTAACATGGAAAGTCTACTTTAGGCGGAGGAGAAATTAACTCATTTAGGATTTATATTATTTACTTTATTTTCTATTATTGCATTTGTAAGACAATTTATTTTGTTTTGTTAGCTTTCCTTAATGATCCTAGTTTAGACAATATAAAGAAGTTCTTTATTTGTAATAGGACTCAACTTGATTATTGGATACAGTTGAAATATATAGTAATATATGTACCAACTTGTAGTCTTTGTTATTGTTAGGGATTAAAGTGCAATTTTTCCTTTTCATCCCGTATA